GAGCCCTGCAGAAAAGGACAAATAATCAATTTTATTGTGTAGCCTTGCTGAAAACAAAGTCCCCCCAATGTACAAACCCATGCTTGCTGTTAATCAAAGGGTTGACAGTTTGAGTTTGCCTGGAGGGACTTCAGAAGACTGGTGGTTTGATTTTTTTTTTTATGTACTTTTATTGTGGGCTCTTACAGCTCTTACCACATCCATACTTCCATTCATTGTGTCAAGCACATTTGTACATATGTTGCCATCATCTTCAAAACATTTTCTTTGTACTTGAGCTCTTGTTATCAGCTCATTTTTCCCCTCCCTCCATCATGGACCCTTGATAATTTATCAATTATTTTTTCCATGTCTTACACTGTCCGATGTCTCCCTTCACCCACTTTTCTGTTCATCGTCCTGAAGGTGGATTATACGTCGATCATTGTGATCCGTTCCCCCCTTTTTCCCCACCTTCCCCCTACACTCCTGGTATCACTATCATTATTGGTCCTGAGGGGTTTATCTATCCTGGATTCCCTGTGTTGCAAGGTCTTATCTGTATTAGTGTACATGCTCTGTTCTAGCCAGATTTGTAAGGTAGAATTGGGGTCATGATAGTTGGGGGGAGGAAGCATTAAAGAACTAGAGGAGAGTCATGTTTCATCAGTGCTATACTGCACCCTGACTGACTCATCTCTGCCTTGTGACCCTTCTGTTAGGGTATGTCCAATTGTCTATAGATGGGCTTTGGGTCTCCACTCCGCCCTCCCCCTCATTTGCATCCATATGATTATTCTGGGTCTTTGATACCTGGTCTCATCGACACCTCATGATCACATAGGCACACAGGTGTGCTTCTTCCATGTGGGCTTTGTTGCTTCCCTGCTGGTTGCTTGTTTATCTTTAAGACCCCAGATGCTATATCTTTTATTAGCCAAGCACCATCAGCTTTCATCACCATATTGGCTTATGCACCCATTTTGTCTTCAGCAATCGTGTCAGGGAAAATGAGCATCATGGAATGCCAGGTTAATAGAACAAAGTGTTCTTGCATTGAGGAGTATTTTAATAGAGGTGCAGTGTCTGTCTGTACCTTAATACTTAAAATATAAATATATGTGCAGATATATTTCCCTATTATATGTGATTATACTTAAATGTGTACATGCCTGTATTGAAACCTCTCTAAATTTCCTTTGCCTCCTAGTTCTTTCCTATATTTCCATTTACTTTCCTCTTGTCCCACTATCATGTTCGGCCTTCATTCGAGTTTCAGTAATTCCTTAGGCAGGCTCTGTTGCACTTGATCAATCCCCACCAGGCATCTTCTGCCCTCCTCCCCATCAATTTTAGATAACGCGTTGCCTTGTCCCTGGGTTTGTTGGCTCCCCCTTCCTTTCCCCTGGCTCCCTCTCTCCCATGTCCCCCCAGAGCCATCTGTCTTGTTTTCTCCTTGGGATTGTTTATCCTGATTATCTTATCTAGATAGATGTGCAGAGACAATAACAAACAAAAATAAAACACCACCACCAAAAAAGAAAAGCCTATGAATAGCTCCAGAGCTGTTTGTTTGACCTTTATGGGTGTTTTCTGGTTGAGTCTGATGAGGTGTCACACTCTGGCCCCCGAAGTCTGATTTTGGGATTCCCTGGGGACTTCGTTGCTTTGCTCCCCTTGCTGCTCTGTTGCATGCCTTTAATGTTTCGTCGCGGTTGGTGGGGTCAGATGGGGCACA